GCGGCTCTTGTAAGCTATGGGGTGTTCTTCCTGCATCAACACGCCCCCAATAGCAAAGTCTGATGCATCCGTGTGCACCTCATATGGCTTTGAGTGGTCGGGCAAGCTAAGTACCGGCTCTTCTGTAACTGCTCTCTTCAAGTCATCAAATGCCCATTGGCATGACTCTGTCCAACTCCAAGCACGCGCCTTCTTGAGAAGGTCTGTCAATGGGGCTGCTCTCGCCGAGTAACCCTTGATAAAGCGACGGTAGTAGTTGACAAGCCCAAGAAATGAGCGTAGCTCTGTCACCTTAGTGGGCGGCTCCCACTATTGAATGGCCCTCACCTTTGCCTCATCCATCATCAGCTTGCGATCCCGTATCTTATGCCCTAGGAACAACACCTCCTCTTGGGCAAAGGAGCATTTCTCCGTCTTCACATATAGGTCGTTCTCCCGTAGGACTTGGAAGACCGCCCTCAAGTGCTGCACGTGCTCTTCTAGAGTGGTGCTATACACAACAATATCATCCAAGTACACCACCACAAAGCGATCCAAGTAGGGATGGAAGAGCTTGTTCATCAAAGTACAGAAAGTAGCAGGTGCATTGGTGAGGCCAAACGGCATAACAAGAAACTCATAAGAGCCATACCTCGTCACACACGTAGTCTTAGGCTCATCCCCGTCCGCTATCCGCACCTGGTAGTACCCCGAGCGCAAGTCAAGCTTAGTGAAGTAGCGTGCTCCACCAAGTTGATCAAAGAGATCGGCAATGAGAGGAATGGGGTACTTGTTTTTGATAGTCACCTTGTTGAGCGCCCGGTAGTCGATGCACATGCGCAAGGACCCGTCCTTCTTCCTCTGGAACAGCACCGGTGTGCCATATGGGGCCTTCGATGGTCGAATATAGCCCGCATCTAACAGTTCCTTAAGTTGCCTCCGCAACTCCTCCAACTCTGGGGGTGCCATCTGGTAGGGCACCAAAGCAGGGGGTTTAGAACCCGGTTCCAGCTCAATCTGATGATCCACCTCCCTCCTAGGTGGAAGCTTCTCGGGCAGCTCCTTAGGCATCACGTCCGTGTACTCGTCTAGCACGGCTCGTATCTCCTTAGGCACCTCTTCTTGCGGGGAAGGGACTAGCTCATCATCGGGTGTCTCCAGTAATGTAGCAAGATAGCTAGTCTCTCCCTTCTTGAAGCCCTTCTTGAACTGCATAGCTGACAAAGCTTGGGCTTCCAACTTGGCGCCTCGCTCCACCGGCACCATGCATGCTGTGTTGCCTTCCATAATACACATAGTGTTAGCAAAAGGAATGGGGAAGACTCTCACCTTGTCTAAGAACTCCAACCCAAGGACTAGTTTGAAGTCGTCCATGGGTACCACCGATAGATCTATGTGGCCACCCCACTCGCCAATGCATGCTATTGGACGCCGTATGCCATGCCATGTATAGCCTTTGCCGCCGAGTTAACTGCCTTCATGGAGCCCCCTTCTTTGCTATACTTGAGGCCCAACCTCTTGGCCTCGTCAAGGCTCACAAAGTTGTGGGATGCACCTGTGTCCACTAAAGCACGTGTGGGTGTCCCATTGATGCTCGCCTCTACGAACATTAGCCCTTTAGCCGCCGCCTTAGGGACTTCAGTTTTAGCCTTGATGGCATTAAGGATTTGCAGTGAACCCATCTGCGCCTCCTCCTGTTGTTGCTCTTCGTAGCGGCTCGTCATGGCATTGAGGGTCTTCCGCTTTGGGCAATCTCGTACCCAATGTGGTCCATCACATATGAAGCAAGAACCCTTAGGCTTGGGTGTTCCTTCCTTGTTCTCCCTTCCCTCTTTGCCTCCATGGCCACCACCTGGCTTACGGGACCAATCCTTGTGGGGTGTAGCGCCCTTGTCTCCCCCACCTTTGCCGGCATACCTCACCTTGTCCTTGTCTTTGTCTTTTGGCTTGGACGAGGGTTCCTTCTTGGAGCTGAAATCAATAAAGGACTCCGCCTCTGCAATAGCTGTGGCAAGGTCTTGCACGTTGCGCCGCCTCAACTCCGTCTTAGCCCACGACTGCAATCCATCCATGAAGAAGAAAAGAGAGTCCTTGTCGGATAGATCCGGGATCTCAAGAGTCAAGTTAGTGAATTCCTTCACTTAGTCCCGAATCGACCCAACCTGTTTTAGCCTTCGGAGTCTGCCCCTAGCTTCATCCTCGGCATTCTCAGGATAGAAATGCTTCTTAATTTCCCTAGTGAAATCAGCCCAAGTATCAATAGAGACCGTACCTTTGCCTATGTCACCAAACTTTTTCCTCCACCATAGCATGGCATGGTTGGTGAGGTAGTGGGTCGCCGTGCGTATCTTGATGGTCTCATCGGTCATGCCCGTAGCCTCAAAGTATTGCTCCATGCTGAAGAGGAAGTTCTCCAACTCCCTCGCTACCTGGTTCCCACCATAGCACTTAGGCTTGGGAATATCAACCCGGGGTGCTACTACCCCCGTAGTAGCTGTGCCGGACTCCACCGCCCGTTTGCACAATGTCCAGTCCGCTCGCATTTCCTCCATTTGCTCGCGGAAAGTGCTAAGCTCCTGATCAACATAGCCACGTAGGGTGGCAAACTCCCCCAACATAAGTTCTCGAAGTGCTTGGAGCTCCTGCCGAAAGTCACCACTTAGGGCATTGAGTGACCCTTTGACAGCATTTTGGACCTCAACGTCCTCCGACTCCAGCCCATCCATGCGCTGGTGAGCATTCTCAAGCTGCTCCAACACGTTGGCTATGGACCCCTCCATCTTTGCCACACGTGCCTCTAAGCCCGCCATGATGTCCTTCGACCTAGCCCTCGTCCTCACTCCGCCTGGAGGGGGATTTGTTTCCCTTCCACGTAGAGTCTCCTCTTGGGTGCCAGTCACGTCTGATAGCTCCGCCATAGCTTCCTCCACACAAGGTGTGACGCCTCACGACCTTAGTTCTGATACCAACTGTCACGGACTTGAACCTTTTCAAGCTCCCGTGCGGCCTTAGACACTTTCAAGCTCCCTTGAAGCGCTAAGTCAGCCTACGCGAGTGTGCTAGCTTAGTGAAGACTAAGGCTAGACAAGTGTTTTGCTTATTTGGGTGTGTAGGAAGAGATTAGGCAAGTGAGCAAGAGAGTTTGGGAATGTATAGAACTTGTATTGCTTGAGAGGAGAGATTACAACTTGGTTGCTTGGTGAGGAGCAAATGAACTCCCACCTCCTATTTATAGGCCTTTGGCCTTACAAGAACATTCTATATGTGTACAAATGTGTGGCCTAGATTTAGTGTCTAGAATCCTCTAGAAATATCTACACAATTCTAGAACTATCTACTATGTACAAGACAAGTCTAGAGAATTCTATACAACTCTAGACAAGTCTAGAAAAGGCTAGACAACTCCTCACTAATCTAGAGAATTCCGGAAAGTTCCATACTTGTGTAGAGAAGTCTAGAAAGCTCCAGTCCATGCAGGCTCCATGTCATCGTCTGCTGGGCGTCTGCGTGGCGCCTGCGTGGCATAGCCTCTTGGTTGCGGGGTGTGACATTAAGCTCTCTCTATCTTTCTTTCTGTTATTTTGTTTCTCTTCTCTTCTGTGTATTATTTCTCTCTCTCCCCCATCTCTATTTCTCCTCTATTTCCTTGTCTCTTCCTTGTTTTATGATGTCCTGTTATTTCATTCTTATCTCCAATTTTTCTATTGGAAGTCTTCTGTCCTTGTTTCTAATATTCTCTTTCGACTTCTTTCCTGCTTTTCTTCTCTAATCTCTCTCTCTTCTTCTCAGAAGTCTCCTCCTTCTCATATCCGTTTTTGTCTCTCTTTCCAGTCCTCTTCTCTCTTCTCTCTGCTCCTCTCTTCTATTTCTCCTCATATTCAGTCTATTTCATGAAATCAGTCTTTTCTTTTCTTTTTTGATAAGTAAAGATGTATTAAAATGCGTTCAAAAGGGGAACGCATCCCACATAAACAAACAAGACCTAATAGGGCTTCTAAACTCTCAAGGAGTCCAAAAAATCAACAATCTCATCCATGGATATACAAATCAGTCTTTTCTTACTATCACTTCTCATTTTCTATTCTTGTTTTGTGGTTTTATATCAAGGAACTAAAACTTTCCATGATTTGACTGAGTCGTGGCAGACTTGGACAAGTTGTAGCAACTTAGTCGTGACTGTGAACAAGTTGAGCCAATATCATGGTAAGTTTGAAACAGCGACCAACTCATCATGACTCGACCACGAAACTACCATAACAACGTTGTTTTCGCCACCAAATTATATAAAAAATTATTTTTCCTATTTTTTCTCATTTTTAAAGGTGAGCCTTGGCGCAACGGTAAGGTTACTCCATTGTGACTGAAGGTCACGGGTTCGAAACTGAAAATAGCCTCTTCATGGCGGAGGTAAGATTACGTACATCTAACCCTCTCCAGACCCCACAATGGTGGGAGCCTAGCCCTTTTTTATTTTTTCACATTTCTCTCTCTTGCAAACAATTTTCTCAGCCTCCAAACACATCAAACAACTTTGATCTACTAATACAAAAAGCAAAAAACACAAGATTTGGCCATAAACCTTTGATGAAAGCTTTCCAATCCTGCAAATAATCGGTAGAATTGTAATCTCTTTGTTTTTGTTTTTCTAATTTTTCACCTAGATCTAATATGAAAATATATGTTAGATTTAACATACAGTACATACTTATCCAAATCTCTTTGTTTTTGTTTTTCTAATTTTTCACCTAGATCTAATATGAAAATATATGTTAGATTTAACATACAGTACATACTTATCCAAATCTCTTGATCTATGTCGAATATTCCATAATGTTTTTTGGAGGCAAGTGAGTTATATTGCACTGGTGATTAATGTCCAGTCGTATATAGTTGATCTGTAAGGGACTAATGTCTTAGAGCAGCTTTGCTTATATAACATAATCCAAAATGACAGCTGATACATCTTGTTCCACATAATTAGTGCAATACTAATGAGTGGTTTTCTTGTGAATTGCCAATAGGGTGGAGACACAAGATGATGGTGATGCTAAAGTAGAGGTTTCTCCCCGTGACATAATTTATACACAACCCGCTGAACTGCTTGAAGGTGAACAGCCAACAGTTCTACACAAACTTGATCTTCGATATGGGTATGCATATGTGCTAATCCTTCTTATCCTTTGAAAATCTATGTTATTCTTTATCAAATAAGCAAGTTACAGTTATATGTAGTTTTATAGAGTTTTTCCCAAATGTTTATTACAAGTGCAAAAGCAGTGATATTAATTTTTGTAAAAGGCACTTTATTTTTTGAAGACTTATCAGGCAATGATGGAGATCACACTTAATCCCATGTGACACATCCTATACATATCTATTATCGGCACAGATGCAAAGGATAGCTATTGTCCAACACTGAACGTAGGCACGACTATATGTTTCACTAGGGTTCATGGTAGCCATTTTTGACTTATATGTAATTACAGCAAGCTATATTGGGCTGGACCTTTTTTTTTTCTTCAGATTTCCTATATTTGCATGGCATATGAATTGGATTAATTACCTTTGATGAATATTGAATAGTGATTGTTGAATCACAGAGAACTTCTCCCTTAATTCTTCTTCTCTTCTCTTCTCTTCTCTTCTCAACTCTCTCCTTCTCCTCTCCTCCAGCTCTACATCAACCAGACTTTGCTTAACTCGCCAGAAAATCAAACCTTACTGCTTCACCCTCACGGGAATCATCTTCACCCAAACAACACTCAACTGAAAACCCATTCACACCATAAACCCTAGCCAAACATTAAGCTTTCAAGCCAACAAAGCCCATCGCCTCTGTTCATAACACACAAACCCTAAGAGGCGAAACCCTCTGTCTCGGTCTCAAAAGAACAAAGCGTGGTCTCGTCGCCTTGTCACATAGTTATCATCGAATGTCGTCTTTGCCGTTCTCTTCTGCGGAGTATTCTTGCCATTATCGCCACTCTCTCTGTCTAGGCCAAGCAATATCCCACTTGACCTGGATCCAGAACCCATCAGGTAACAACAAACAACCACCCACTTAGCCTAGTTAGTTTGAACCAGAACCAATGTTCAACCTTAACCCAATTGACACAACCCAGCAGAATACTTGTCTATTTTTAGCCCAGCAACCCGCTTGTTTAATTTTAGCCCGGCAACCCACTTGTTTATTTTTAGCCCAAACTGACCCAAGTGTAGCCCAGTCCATATTTTGGACTTAGACCTGTTTGGTTATGAGTTCATGACCAGTCCAGTTTTTAAACTGGACCAGAATTGAACTATTCTGGCAGCCCAACATTATATTTATTTATTCTTTTTTCCAGCCATCAGTTTGTGGTTTACCATAGCTTTCTTTTGGAAAACTACTGAATGCTTGACTCTGGAACCTTGATTTGATGTATGCAATATTCTACCTCTACAGAGGAATTTCTTGGTGTGATGATTCGCTGGCTCTAGTTTATGAATCCTGGTATAAAACACGGCGAGTTAGGACCTGGGTTATGTCTCCTGGATCTGACGATACAAGTCCACGCCTGCTATTTGATAGGTCGTCTGAGGATGTGTATTCTGATCCTGGTTCTCCAATGTTGCGGAGAACTACTGCTGGGACGTATGTAATTGCTAAGGTAAAGAAGGAAAATGACGAAGGCACTTATATTTTACTAAACGGAAGTGGTGCAACGCCAGATGGGAACATCCCATTCCTGGACTTGTTTGACATGTAAGTGTGTCACAATTACCTGTTTAATTCTTTTTCCTTTTTTTTTTGTGTTTTTGTGTTTGTGGAAATGCGGTTCTAACACGATTTTTTTCAGAAACACAGAAGTTAAAGAACGAATATGGGAGAGTGACAGAGAAAAATATTATGAGACTGTGGTTGCTTTAATGTCTGATGAGAATGAAGGAGAATTGAACATTAATCAGTTAAAAATACTAACTTCCAAAGAATCTAAAACTGAAAACACCCAATATTACATACAGAGCTGGCCAAATAAGAAAGCATGTCAAATTACCAATTTTCCTCACCCGTACCCCCAGTTAGCATCATTACAGAAAGAGATGATTAGGTATGAGCGGAAGGATGGAGTTCAGCTTACTGCATCACTGTACCTTCCACCAGGTTATGATTCCTCAAGAGATGGGCCCTTACCGTGTCTGGTCTGGTCATACCCTGGCGAATTTAAAAGCAAAGATACAGCTGGACAAGTTCGTGGTTCTCCTAATGAGTTTGCAGGGATAGGTCCAACATCGCCCCTGCTTTGGTTGGCAAGGAGGCATGTTACTTTCCTTCTGTTTGCTTGCCTGAATTATTTCAGTGGCATTGGAATTTCTTTTAATAAGTCGCCTTCCTATTGTTCCTGCTCTGTAACTAGTTTGGTTTAAATTTGTTGAACGATTTATGATTGCTGCAATTTTTGCAGGTTTGCTATCTTATCCGGGCCAACAATTCCTATCATTGGTGAGGGGGACGAAGAGGCAAATGATCGGTAATTTGATGTCTATATCTTCCGCAGCCAGTTTTCTGCTTCAATCACATTATGAAATAAATTATGTTTTTCAACAATGTTACAGTGTACTTAGGTCCATCTATTAGTTTTGGGTACTTAGTCTAACCATCCAAAATTTCAAATTCCCAGGCCTACATAGACGAGGACACGGATAATATGCATATTTGTTATTGTTTGGATAAAAATAACATGTTTATGTAGTGTTGTAAAGCTTAAAACGGAAGAGAAGAGATAAATAAAACAAGTAGAACACACAAATATTACGTGGTTCAGCCACTAGGGCCTACATCAACGGCACAAAGAGCCCAAAGGGCTACAAGTTCGTGGTTCTCCTAATGAGTTGGCGGGGGCGAAAGAAGGGGAGAAAGAAGAAAGAGAAAAGAAAGGAGAAAAGAAAGGGAAGAGGCCACTTCTATTAATTATAGATTCTGATTATTGGGCTTTTGCCTGCTTCAAAAGTTAAATATTTGAGCATCAGTGTCATTAGCGCAAGTTTGAGGATCAGAACAGCCACTTCACCCCTTCCAAGACCATGCTGTAGCAGGACCAACAACAAAGTGTATTTATATTATCAACAAAGTCTATTTATAGTCAACCCAATTGATACCCAATCCTAATTAAAGATAACTGCCGAAGATATGGGTACACACTACCACTAAATCCTATCCCTAAAATTAAGAAAAAAGGGGTACCCTAAATAAAATTTCTTAAATTATGTGTAGGCCAATCAAGGATCAATTCTCCTGACTGAGAAAAACTTGCCGAGTTTAGAGAAGATCCAACTTGCAAGAGCCATGACTTTTGTTATGTAGAGTTTAGAGAAGATCCAACTTGCATTAGTCATGACTTTGGTTATGGAGAGTTTAGAGACGATCCAAACTTGCATGATTCATGGGTCAAAAGGGAAATATTTTTTTGTTAAGTAAGATTTAATTAAAAAAAGGCTCAAGAGGAAAACGCTCCCAAAAGAATACACAGAACGTCATTAAAGTAGCAGAAATATTGCAGCACATTAAAGTAGCATCTTTTTCCTTTGCACTTGAGCTTATGAGATTGTAGAATCATGAAGCATCTTTATGCATCATATGAAGCATGCTTCTTCACCAGTTTGTGGAAAATAAACGAGCCCGATCAAGAATTTTCTTTTTCCTACCTCCTTTTTTCTCTCTCTCTCTTTTTTTTTTTCTTTTTTTTTTTTTTTTTCCTGGAATTTGGTTTAAAACTGGAATTTATCTGGGTTGTGTTGGAATTTGGGTCAAACTAAGACCCGACCATTCTAGATGTGGAACTAGGTCCGAATTTTAATCCAATAATGGGTTTAGGTTTGATCATGGGACGTAAAACAAATCCTCCATTTCTTTTTCCTGAGCTACACTTGATAAGTGATAGTGATAGGAAGCTCTTGGACGATGACAGTTACGTGAGTGGCTACTGTGGTGGCTAAAGTTTAGTGCTCAAGAAGGGAGGCGTGGTCGATGGCCATGCAACATGCCTTGACCAAGATGGCGAGATTTAGGGTGAGGTGATGGCAAGACTTCGACAATGATGACTAGAAATGGTGCTTGTGGGTCTTTAGCTGTGCTTTTTATGTTTTTATCTTTTATGTTTCAGTTACCACCAAAGGTGGTTTGTGATGAGGATTGTCAGGAGTCTGTGGTTCAGGATGATGCAAGCCTGCCTTAGGCAGGCAGTTGAGGCAGCGGATGACACTGGTGGTGGCGTGATTTCGGTGGCTTGTGATAGCCAGCACATTTGGGTGGTGTTTTGCTGGGTTTATGTGGATTTCGTGATGGATTCTTAGAATTTTGTGCTTGGAGTTTGATAGAAACGATTGTAGCTTGTGGTTGGGTGATGCGCTGGTTGAAGTATGTCTATTGCCTTTTCCTTTGACAATGCAGGCTTGACACCAATGGTGATAACTAAACACAGTTGGCTAGTTCAATGAAAGTTAATGATAGCCATAGGAGAGTGGAGAAGCTATGAAGATGACAGGCTACAGAAGGGGTTGGTTTAGGACTGCGGTTGTTTAAAACTTGTTTATGTCCAGCTGATTGGGCTATGATGATAACTTAACAGTAAGGTGATAGGTTTGGTGACGATGAAAAGAGAATGGAGAGAAGTGGACTTAAGAATGGAAAGAGAGGGTCTACCATGACTATATCTAGTCTTTGACTGTTTTCATGTCTTATGCACCTTTTCTTTTTTTGATGAGTAAAATATTCATTGAAGGGCACCCTAAAAGTGCGACATAACCCAGAATGAGCTGCACAAAAGCCTATAGCCTCAAGCTATCCACAAAAGCCAAAAGAATCTCCCTAGATTTACCATTAGATCCCTGACTCCAAAAGAATAAAGTACTAAGAACAAAATACCTAAACACCCCCAAGGAGACTCCACCTCGTCAAAGGATCTCCTATTTCTCTCTCCATAATGTCCATCATAGGCAAAGGGGGAAGGCTTCCATGCATCTCTAACTCGGGGCCGCACTCGGCAACCACCCCAAGCCTTAATCAAGCTCCTTGTAAATTCTTGCATGACCCACTAAATCCCAAAAATGGTTACAGCAAATCCCAATCATCCCCAGCTCTAGGGCAATGGAGAAGGAGATGATCCACCGCCTCCCCATCCCTCTGGTACATACAACACCAATTGACAATAATCTCACACTGCCTCCTCAAATTGTCAATAGGCAAAATCCTCCCTGCTGCAGTCCAACCGAAAATAGGGCCACCTTCAGGGGGCTTTGGAAAGGACATTCCCTAAGTATTCATCAACTGGCAATAGAACGACCTAACCTCGTATCTCCCATGGCTCGCACTGCCCAAAACCACTCATTCATCCCCTCCCCAGAATTTTCTTGCTTTTCCATAGAGGCGCACACAGTTTTACGATTGTTCCTATCAAAGTTTAACTTTTAAATTTTTAAAACTGTACCTTTATCAATTATGTCTTTTTATGCAATATTTTTATTTTGTAAACCATGCTCATATATCTAGCAGTGCCCAAACACCTATTATTTACTAGTTATCACCTCTAGCCAGGCATCTAGGCCAGCTCAGTGTTCTTACATTTATTCTTATGATTTATTTGCTAAATAAACATGCCTACTAAACCTTATATCTTTTAAAGATGTACATATAAAAACATTTATATATTTATTAAATTTAGGAAAATGCTATTGATCAGTGTGTTGGCTGCCACTTCACATTCGAGATGCATATCTTAAATTGGATTTGAGATGTCTAGCACATCTTCGAATGCATGTGACCGTTTGGAGAAAAATAAAATTGCGTGTCTTTCATCTTTTTTATTTATTTATTTTTTTTCATTTTTTTTTTTTTTTTTTATAAGTAAAATGTATAGAATCGTTCAAAAGGGGAACACATCCCAAAAGCTACGCAAAGGCCAAGGCCAAAAGGGACTCTAAGGACCCAAGGAACCCAAAAAAATCAACTCTCTCTTCTATAGATATATGCTTTCTCCCATAATCCAACTAAAAAGAGTGCTAACAATAAGAAATTTTATAGCCCCAATAGAAGATTCCTCTCCATCAAAGGATGTTTCATTTTGCTCCTTTCTATAAGCACCACCAAACACAAAAGGGTGTCACCCTCCAAAAGTCATGGGCGTGGGATCCCACAAAACACCCTCTCCAAGCATCAATCAAACCTCTCAAAGACCGAGGCGTGACCCACTGAACACCAAACAAAAAAAAAAGGGTCCCCAACAGTGGTGAGCCATGGGGCAATGCAAAGGAGGTGATGAACAGACTCAACATCCCTCTTACACATGCAACACCAATTGACAATGAGCTTTCTCCTTCTCAGATTACCAAGTGTCAAGATCTTGCCCCAAACTGCTATCCAAACGAAGAAGGCTACCTTGAGTGAAGCCTTAGTGCACCAAACCGCCTTCCACGGGAAAACAGCCCCTGAAAAGTCCGAAAGGCAAGGGAACAAAGAATGAACATCGAATCTCCCTTGAGAGGAAGGCACCCAAACGAGAGAATCCGAGCGTTCACTATCAAGCTCGTCTATGGAAGAGCTCCAAAGGTCCAAAGATGTCATCCTATTCCCAATCTTGGAAATGTCGTAGAAAACGCACATCCCAAGTAATCCTCCCACTATCAAGCCAGTAATAGTCGGCAACCAAGGTGTGTCTATCAACAACAATCCTGAAAAAAGCTTGGGAAAAACCATTCCAACCCTTTCGAATGAATTTTCAAATGCCAACACAACCTGCGGTCCTAACTGCGAGGGAGCACCAACCAACCGCATTTCTCCTCCCCAAAGCGACACGAGATAACCCTCGTCCATTATACACAACAATCTCTTCATTATACATCACTTCTTTGTTTTCTTAGTTGGATAAACTAGTACACAAGAAGATATACACACACACACACACACATGTACATACATACATATATATATATACAGATCATTTCTATTTGAAAAATAATAGATAAAGTAATCATTGACCCAAAAAGGGTGTGTTTTGGGGAACTCTTCTAAAATCTCTCTTATCTCGTTTCAGACCTTCACATATTTTTCCCAAACCGCTACGTCTCGTGAAGTTGTGCTAGTTGAACTGAATTCTATGATCGGTTTGCTCGAGGCTTGGAGGGGGTGTATAGTGGGTAGCTAGGCTCGAGATGCATGGAGGGTCAGACTCCTTTTGTATTCCGTGGGGGCTTTGGCATGAAAGGAATAGGAGGTGTTCTGATGGAGTTGAAGCTCCGATATGGGTGTTAAAACACCATATTATGAGCTATTTCTTCTTTTGGATTTCAAGTAGCTTTTGTAAATTTGTGGAGGATTTTCTTGATTTTATGGTTTGCCTGAGGTTGTAGAGATGTAGATATATAGTTTCTTTCCCTTTTGCAGTTGTTTTTTGGTTGGCTTCCTTTTGAGCGCTTTCTTTCTTAATGAAAAAAAAAAAAGTGCTAGAGAATCCAATTTGAGATATGCATCTTGAATGTGAAATAGCAGTCAATACCGTGATCTTTAGCGTCTTCCTAATTTTATGACTAAATAATTTTATGTAATAATTACCGTGGTATTAAATTAACAAGTCACACTATGAAACTTTGGGAGAGGCGAGAGACAGAAGTGTCGGAGAATCAATTTGGATTCATACCTGGTAGGTCAATGATGGAGGATATTTACTTATTGAGGAGACTAATATGGAAAGATATATAGAGAGAAGAAGAGAGATCTTTATATGGTTTTTATTGATATGGAAAAAAACCTATGATAGAGCCCTAATATGAACTCTTTTAGAAAAGAAAAGAGTCACAAAGGGATACATTGACATAATAAAGGACATGTACAATGGTTGTGTTACTATAGTTGGAACGCCTGTAAGGGAAACAAGTGAATTCCCTTACACCAAGGGTCAACATTAAAATCCATACCTTTTTGCCTTTGGTTATGGATGAGCTGACGACACATCCAAGATGAGATTCCGTGGTGTATGTTATTTTTCGATGATATTGTTTTAGTTGATGAGACTAGAGGAGTTATTGCCAAATTGGAGGTTCGGACAGAAGCATACATATGGAGTGTTACTTTAGTAAATTTAGAAAGATAAATGAGGATATAGTGAGGATTGAGAATTAAGAGGTAAAAAAACGTGTACATTTTTGTTATTTAGGCTCAATTATTCACAATGAGCTAGAAATTGGAGGCAACCATAATCATAGAATCAAGGTAGGATGGGTTACCTGGAGGAGTGCATCTAGTATATTGTGTGATAGGCATATCCCGTTCGATTGAAAGGGGAGTTCTATCGAACAACTATTAGACCAGCCATACTTTATGGTACCGAATGTTGGGCTGCTAGGAAACAACATTTCCATAAAGTTAGTGTTGCAGAAATGCGTATGTTGAGATGGATGTGCAGTAAGACTAGAAAGGACCGAATTAGAAATGATTACAATATTTTTTACTCGTTTTAGGAACTCAAAGTTTGCCACTGGTTAAATGTTTCCTCTTTGTTCCATTTCTGTTTGGAGCCTTATTTCTTTCCTTATTTGAGGCTTTGGTGCCACTCCACGTCACATCCCATATTCCAGGTTTGAGACTTTTAATGTGATTCCTTCTCGAGTCCTTTTATTTATGAAGTGGTATCATTCCTTCTGAGGAACTAAACCATCATTCTCCCAGTTTTCTTGTCACTATATTAGTATATTGCTGATGTATATATGGAAGGTGTGGCTCCATCTTTTAGTTTCCATCCACAGGAATTGGAATCTCCTTGTGGTGCCTTGTAGTCTTTCCCGAAAATTAATTTAGTTAGTTTTCTTTAATGTGAGTAATTGCCCCTTCTTAAATTGATTTAGGATATGTTTGAGATACATAAATGGTTATAAGGGTACATTGCTTTTTTTTTTTTCTTCTCACAACATGATATTCTAGAGAATACATAGAAATGCTCCAAGCTTATATAGAGAAAAGCTTTCTTTTCTTCTTCTAGTTCTTCTCCTTTGTCTCTGGGATTCATCACTCGATCAATTAACCAAATGTTGTGCTCGCAGGTATGTGGAGCAACTAGTTGCAAGTGCAGAGGCTGCAGTAGAGGAAATTACCAAACGTGGAGTAAGCTTCTTCATTCCTTTTCCTTGGAATCTTAGCATGGTTCTAACAATATGTTATATGTTTGACTAATGTTTTCTGATGCGTCTCTTTAAGGTGGCTCATCCGGACAAAATTGCTGTTGGCGGTCATTCCTATGGAGCATTCATGACTGCAAACCTCCTAGCACATGCCCCTCATCTCTTCTCTTGCGGAGTTGCCCGCTCTGGGGCCTACAACAGAACACTTACACCTTTTGGCTTTCAGGTTGTGCGCTACTAAGAGTGGCAAACATTAAGGTCTAGATCACTCTTACTTTTGTCTTTTATATGATTTAGTGCTTTATATACTGTTACTCATGTAGAACGAGGATCGAACACTATGGGATGCCACTACTACTTATGTTGAGATGAGCCCTTTCATGTCAGCCAATAAAATTAAGAAGCCTATTTTGCTTATCCATGGAGAAGAAGACAATAATCCAGGAACCTTGACCATGCAGGTAAAAGAAAGTGGGCCCCCCTTTTTTGTTCAACTTTTATATGAAATTCATATTCAATAAATTGTTGAAATGTGCTTCATGGAAATTATGTTGCCTTCTCACTAGTTTCACTTGTTAATGTTACTTTTCTCAAGATCTGAGGGTCAATTTGTATGCTGCTTTCTTTGCCTCAATAATAATGGCTGCTTTATTTCCTAAACTATCAATTTGTTACTGAGGAAAAAAATAAGAATTGTTACTGAATTTGCATTTGCAATTGATGCAGTCAGATCGGTTCTTTAATGCATTGAAAGGACATGGTGCACTCTCTCGTCTAGTGATTCTTCCATTTGAGAGCCATGGTTATGCTGCCCGAGAAAGCATAATGCATGTCCTTTGGGAGACTGATAGGTGGCTGCAGAATTATTGTGTGTCAAATACTTCTGAGGCAAATGCAGATCTTGATGCATGTAAAGAGAATGCAAGCAAAGGAAATATAGATGATGAGGGCAAAGCAATTAGTGCCACTGGAGGAGGAGTTTCGGAGCTGGCAAATCTTGAGGATGAAAGATTTCACTACTCTACACGAAGGTCATCATTATGGTAATTTATTCATCCATTATATTTACATCTTAGATGATAGCAAGATGAAGAGGGAGAGGTGTTTCTCGATCTACTCTCTAATTTATTTGTTGAACTGTTTTTTATGCTTTCGGTCCATGGACATAAAATAAAATATCTAAGGTTCCAGTTCATGTAAACTATTATAAACTGAAAATCTAGTGTTATGGAAGTGTCAGATGCAGCAAAGCAATTAGTCCTAAGAAATTGATTTTCAGTCATCTGTTGTAATAATTTAGGTGTTGCATTTCTTAGTTTTCCTTGAAAAAAAGAAGAAAACAAGCAGCTTAGTTTTCTAACCCCATTCTAATATCTCTTCAAACTCTATTTTCTTATATAGATTGGTGCTGAGAGGCAACGATGTCAAAGCCACCGCCCTTCCTCGATTTAAGCTTACAACATCCATGATTGTTGCCTAAAATATTGTTCCGTACATTTTGACTTGTGCTTCTGATGGTCTTTTAGACCCCTAGTCTGTTAGAGAATGTCTGGCACAAGTGAAGGATAAAAAAGGGGGAAAAAAAAAAAAAAAATCATTTTATAGATTTTATTAGGTGGGATCCCCTGGGATATTTGGTCTGATGCACTGAATGTCTGAATTTGCCCCCTTCTAGGTGGGTAATGCCCAAATTGTTGTACCTTGTACTTGATTTACACATATAGTGTAGCCCCAACTAAGGATATTTCTCGAACAATTGTGAGACAAGGTAGGTCGACATCCTAAAAGAATGAATTATAATGGTTCCTGAGGTGTACAGTACTTCCATTGTATTGTAAGCTTATAGGGGGATGTGTACAAGGTTAAGTTCAGCATGTGTTGTTGATGATGATGTATCAGAGGATCCAGAACTCTTCTATAAAAGCTCTAAGATGCCTATGTAAAATGTCTAGGGTGTCATGTATAATCTAAATATTGATTGACATAAAACATTGGGTGTCACCAATAGAAATCAGGTTAATGGAAAAGAAGTGAGAATAAAACTGCCATTGGGCTGGGGGGAATTGAAGGACCAACGAGTACCGGTGATACAATATAACCAATTATATCTTGTTGCATAAGTAAAGATTTATTTATTTTAATGAGCTTTATCATTGCGTGTCAAAATATTTTAACTATTTTTTCACTCACACAGTAAAAGTGAAAGTGATTGACATATACATACACGGAAGGATATACACGGAAGGATATATCTGTATCTCTTCTGCCTCTCAAAAGGATGGTGAGTTGGTGAGGGTTCAATTTTCCTCTGTACAATGTGAGTTTACTGATTGGCATACTTAAAAGACCAAATTGATCACAACATTTCTATGGCAATTGGCCCCAAATTTGGTCCCCTTTAGTCCAGACACAGCCCCTCAAATCTGTGTGTTTTGGTAGCTATCAACATCCTTTGAAAAATTGCAAGTCTCTGGGGAAAATGGGATGATACTTTGGAATAAAACATGTTATGCCCTTGTGTGTTACGACAAACGTAACGAATCAAGCAATAATTACGATAAAACGATAGAAAAATAAACATACAACATAAAGAACACAAAGATGGCAAAGCTTACATAACCATAGAAAAATAAACATACCACACAAAGAACACAAAGATGGCTAAACTTACATCCACGGTGGATATTTGGCAAAAGTCTTCACCACGTGTAAAATTAGAGATTATAAGTTTCAGTCACTCATTCTCTATTATGTACGAATTTCAACGTCTCTATCACAAATTATATCAAACTCTAAATGCCCTTATATATTGGGTTACAAGATAGTACTAATTAGGATTCACGAGTAAAAACGGATCAAAAATTTTCTTCGAGACCAAGCCCCCAAACTCCAAGAGCTTTGTGTGGGCTGCCCACACAAAGCTCATCCAACAAGTCGCAATGCAATCCGTAACCAAATTCGGGCCATAACATCACACAAACTTATATATCATCTTCTCTTCATAATGATGAGAAAAATAGTAGTACTATACATCACTATTATGAAGAAATCCATATATGTAACCAACAAGTACTTTTTAACAATTTAAAAGTAGAGATCAATGATTCTAGGTCTTTATAGTGAAAACTGAGTTTTTTCACCGGGTCGCAATTGTAGTCACTGTCTGCCAAACTTGCAACATCTTCATATTGTGTTTTTTCTCACATTTTGACACAATGGTTAATCTCAACCACGTAATAATCTAATCAAGAAAAAGTTCGTCAATCGAAGTACGCAGCAAGAGGCTTGGTTTCCATTAATGAAGCACAGCTGTAACAATTTCAAGCAGCCAAAAATTCTCAGAGGCTTGGTTTCCATTAACGAAGCACAGGTGTATCAATTTGAAGCAGCCAAAAATTCATGAATCCCATAATTCTCAATCACCCAAGTGATCATATTGAATCCTTGGGAACCATCACAACTACGGACGGGACGACCTATAGTTTTAACGATAATGCCATGTCGTCCAGCAGACCCATGAAGCTCTAATTGAAAATAAACATTTAATTATGGACTTTGTTACGCAATGATTAAGGGTAAAGAAACTGTAACTTGACAAAAGCAGTAGCCATGCAGAGATCATATCAACTCAGGCAGACGTAAATGCGACCCGCAAAAAACCAGAAAGTTTTAAAGCTCTCTCAAGCAACAGTGGTCTACATAGAAACCAGAAAGTTCTAAAAACCAAAATAACTTATTTATTCAGTAACCCAAACTGAGTATGCTCCAATTCCAGATTCAAGAGGAGCCAAGCAAGGGGAACATTACATAGGGATACCAATAAAAGTGCGTATCAAATCATCACAGCAGCTGGGGAAGAATTTATTCTTCTACAACAACACTGATCTCACCTTTCTCTAGCAAGTCATAGAATGCCCTCGTTTTCCTCTGCTCGTTCCAGTGATACATCTTCCACAGGCCACCTGCAGCCAAGCCAAGTGTGAGTCCAATAATTATCTCCTTTACCACACTTGGTCCTTTCAGGGTGGCATGCGCAACCTTGTGGGCAGCCATTTCACTTCCCTAACTAGAAGCTTGTAAACCTGCAAGTGACAAACAGAACATCTTTCACTTTTTCAGTAGTGGGCACCATAAAGTCTGACTCCAGACTGCATATTTGAACTTCAATCAAGGTAATAACATTAGTCTACCAGGTGTAGCTACAATCAACTTTCTCCAACAAGGTTCGAATTATATAAATATATACCAGATTAAATGCGAACTCAGCCACAATTTTTAATTTAACACAGCAACTATTAATAATTTTCACAGGCCTTCTGAGGTTCACTAATTTCCCACATCTTGTCAAATTATTTATAGCCAAATAACTAAACTTTCTAAAATTTCAAGGAGAAGAAGAGAGATTTTAAAGACAAAGAAGTAAAATTTCAAAGATAACAACGGTGAAATACTAAAATATGTACGTGGCATTTTGCATGGCAAATAACATGTTTTCTGGATGATACATATCCACATGTTGACCATCGTATATAACATGAAATTACTCAACATGCATTCTCACCAACACCATAACCCCCATAAGAGCATCATGCAAAAATGTATCATTTAAAATAATAATAATAATAAACAATATATATATTTTCAACATAACAAAACAATTTGACATACTGATATTAAAATAAAACAATAACTAGCAGACAATTCCTCAAGCAAATTATAGCTTGAATCAAGATAAAAGCTACGGTACCCTACAACATAACCCCAGTAAAGCAAACAAAAAAACATTATATCTGTAGATTTTAAAAAATTCCACAACACTTTTCACTAAATTGTGTCACCTTATTATACAATGGTAGAGTGTATCTTTTTCCTTATTCTGTACATAACAAAATCGAATCAAGTATGAAGCAAAAACATATTTGCTTATATAGTTGAATTTAATGCATTATAGTTATAAATGTGAGATCTAAAAGGCACATGCTTGTGGTTGTTGAAAGGTATAATAGCCTTGATTTATTTATTTATTTTTTCCAAGAATAAAACTTATTGTGATAAGAAAGACAAATCCTCAAGTACACAGAAATATACAAGATAACAAGGATGAACAGAATTAAGGAAGTTGGAAAAAAAGAGTGATTGAAAGAAGTGCCAAGAAAACGCTCGGGATGGGGATAGGATTAACAAGAAAGAGTCCCACATCTTTTTAGCAACCAGATAATGAAGGAAAAGGACCACAATGTGAATGCTTCTCCCACACCTCTCTAGCATTCAACAATGAGGGGAAAGGCGATAAAGGGGGTTTAACATCCCTTCTAGACATATATAACACCAAAAGGAAAAGGGTATCCAACAATGAAGGGATAGGTGACCAAGGGGGTTTAACATCCCTCCTAGACATATAACACTAAAAAGAAAAGGGTATCCAAAACGAAGGTATAGGTGGCCAAGGGGGTTTAACATCCCCCTCCTAGACATATTAACAAAAAAGAAAAGGGTATCCAAAACAAAGATAAAAGTACAAAGGGGGTTTAACATCCCTCCTACACAAACAACACCAAAAAGAGAAGGGTATCCTAAGATGAGAGGAAAGGCAACAAAGCGTTTTAACATCCCTTCTAGACATATAACACCAAAAAAAAAGGGGTATCCAACAATGAAGGAATAGGTGACAAAGGGGATTCAACATCCCTCCTAGACATATTAACAAAAAAGAAAAGGGTATCCAAAACGAAGAGAATGGTGACAGAGGGGGTTTAACATCCCTCCTAGACATACAACATCAAAAAGAGAAGGGTATCCTAAAACGAGAAGAAATATCCAACAATGAAGGAATAGGTGACAAAGGGGATTCAACATCCCTCCTAGACATATAACACCCAAAAAAAAGGTGATAAAAGTGGGTTTCACGTCCCTCCTAGATAGGGATGACAAATTCCCAATCCCCGCTGGGTATCCGCCCCAGGCCCCCACCCCACCCCGCCCTGTTTATAGCGGGGATGGGGACCCTTTTATGTAAACGGGGATGGGGGTGGGGGTAAATTCTGAAAACCCGCCGGGGCTGGGGCCGGAGGGCGGGGCCCCGATTAAGTGTTAAATTACTAATATACCCTTACATTTAATAAATTATTACTAAATTAGATTTAGTATATATATGAAAATAAGAAAAATTATGTTTTTTTTAAAAAAAATAATATATGTTAATCGGGGATGGGGATAAGGGTTCGGGGGCGGGGGCGGGGGCGGGTATGGGGGTGGTGGGGAAATTTTAAGCGGGGATGGGGGTTGAAAAATTCAGCAGGGATGGGGATGGGGATGGGGAATGAGATCCCCGCCCCGCCCCATTGCCATCCCTACTCCTAGACTTATACCATCAAAAAGAGGAGGGGAAGGAGGACTGGACTTGGGACGGGTTTAAAAAAAAATATATATAATAATAATAATAATAATAATAATAATACCTATCTAGAAATCTAATAATGATGAACATCCTATACTGGTTCGAGCCCTATAGTGGGTATTTGTGATTGTGCTTGCGTATTTAACGAACCAATATATATATATATATATATATATATATATATTATAATGAAGGAAAAGGATCAATATGTGATATCCCTCCCATACAGCCACACATCTCTATCATACAACAACGAAGGAAGGGGTTTCAACATCCCTCCTATACATACATAGTACATCTATCTCTATCTATGAGGCAACTAGAAGTCATGACAATCAATAGAAAATGGTAGTCAGGTAGCCAATCTAAAATGGTTCATAGAATTTCCCCAGTTTTCCTTCTACTATAGCTTATTATCTTGAATCATTCCAAGTCAAGAAGAGCCTTTCCATTTTAATTTCCATCAATCACAGTTACAATAAGTACTATTATTCCATTTATCAGGGAAAAAAATTGAGTTTTTCTCTCCCCAAATAAAATTTTATATCATAGCAAAATTTAGTCAGCTTTGATCCTATTCTTAAAATCATCTGTAAATTTAATGAGAGATTATGAGTTCAGTTCAATGTCTTTCTAGACTTGCGAAGAAGAAGAACAAGAACAGATGGAAGAAGAAAAGGAAAAAGAAAAACAAAGAAATCACTGGCTGACCTTCCCTTGCAATTCTGATTTGCCGGAGTTCGGAAATGCTGCCAGAGGTCTTCTCGTCGCCGATCGAGATGCTAGGGCGAATAAGCGAATAAGCGAACAAGCGAACAAATGAAGGAGATATAGCAAGTACGCGTCCATTTGAGATCTGTGCTTTTAGTGAGCAATTTATAATTTTGCCCCTCAATTTTTTAATAATTATAAAATCACCTCATAAAAGTACTTAATCTTTTATATATCTATTAAGTACATATATCAGTGTGTGATATATATATATATATATATATATATAAAATCATGTACAACGACAACAATAATAAATGGATCATGCATCATCGACTAAATAGGAAGAAGGATTTACATAATATTAAAATCACTCCTAATGGTTTTTTTTTTTTTTTTTTTCAATATTTATTTATTTATTAGTCCTAGTAAGTAGTAATTATTCCTTATGCAGATTTGAATAATTTCTAGTGGAGATGAATCATCAAATTTTAATTTTGAAATGTAAAAAATATCTAGACGGAGTTCAAAGATGCTGCCAGAGGTAAGTGAGTGTGTGAGGACACATGTATGGTTTTCGGGTTTAGGTGTTTAGGAAATTTTTTCTAAGTATCACTTCATTTCTTCCAAACTGCCTAAGTGGAGCTTGTTCCACCCCATGGAACCAGTTGCACATTAAAGCTTTTAAAGTTTTTGAAAATGAAAAACATATTGGTCAAGTGGAACCGGTTCCACCCCATGGAACCGGTTGCACTCTACAAATCAAAAAGGAAAATTTACTTCTAGTCTATTTTGGCTTTCTCTGTTTGGACAACCTTTTGCCATAATTGACTTGTTTTCCAAGTACAATTAAGTTTTCAAAAGACTATAAATATATGTTTTCTTAGTTAGGGTTTTACGGGTTTTTGCATCAAATTTCTGATTTAATTTGAGAGCTAATTTTATGAGATTTTTCTGAGAGCATACACACTATACACACGAGTGATTTAGGGCTTTGTTCTTATTCTGATTGGAGTACGAGCTATTGAAGATTGCATCAATATCAATCAGAGAAAGCATAATTCATTCCTTTTACATCAAAACTTGATTTAAAGGGCGGTTACACTTTGAAGGGGTCAAGGCATTCGATGTGACGGCCCAAGTTTTGTAACCTGGTGCGTCAGTGATTACCTAAAAGTTAACCCGGTAACGAGTCCAAAATGCAGAAGTGAAAGATAAAACCAAAGTCTCTAGAGATATAAATCATCCCTAAGACACCAATGTGATCTTCCATGAAGTCATGGAACTCAAAGAGAACGAAAGAGCAAACGAGAATCAAAATGAGCAAAATCCGTTAATCAAGGGCAAAATGGTCAATTTACAAATAAGAAGGGAAATTTGACTCCAAGCAAGTCAAATAAGGTTCATACAACCTAAACTAATCATTTCACAACATTCTAAGAGGTTCTAAGAACTTTGGCCAAGAATCCCACAAGACTCCCATTCCCGGTTTAAACAAAATCTGACACTGTCTCACTAAAATATGATTAACTCCCACTATAATTTGAATATGAGAATGGCATTGGTACCATTAGAAATCTGACTCAAAATCCTTAAGCTTAGACTCAAGAATCACCTAATTTGGACTAGGAAGGAAGGAGTTATAACCATTTGAAGTCAGAGAAGCAAAACTGATACAAAATTGAAAGACAGGAGTGCCTGAAGCATTTCGGTCGGCCGAAATGAACCCAGAATGACCAAAAAACTGAATTTTAAGGAAAAGTTACTTCAGTCAGCCGAAATGATGAATCGGTCGACCGGTTGTGACCAAAACAGTACCTAAACTACTGGAAAATGAGTTTTTACTGTACAATTAAATCCAAAAAGCCATCGGTTGACATTTTGGTCGGTCGAAATGACATTTCGGTCAGCCGAAATGACTCGAGAAGGTGCTGAAAGACCTGCTATGCACCAGAAATGATGAGGCTTTACCCAAGCCTCAATTCCCATCATGAAATGGTCCAAAAACAAAATTTAAAGCTGTGTAAACATGCCAACAATGGTCCAAAAATTACCTTTCAAAGGCAAAACTTGAAATTTAAATGCATACACTTGAACTTTAAAGTTTGTGGCCTTTGGCCTCATGTCATACATATCAAATAGGTTCCAAATACATTTTACATATTATAAGGCAAAAAGGGCATATTGAACCTAGCTATGTATTACAATTCTAAAAGTAAAACTCAAACATGCCAACACTTGCATGTGAACAATGATACATTTAAAAGAACTTCAAATCATCAAAACGACCTGGGGATATTGTGCATCCCGAAACCACGTCTTCTTGCCTGAAACAGGTCGTATTCAGCGAGGGGTGAGTAACCTGTATTACTCGTAGGGAATGAACATGCATATACCTAACATTTTACAAATTTGTATAAATTAATCCTTGTGGTTCATTCCACCTAACGTCTATGTCAAAAGTGCGACCCAAGGAGCATCCTAAGCTACCTTAAAACATTTTTAACATAAACCACATTTTTATGCAATTAAATAGTATAGGTGCATATAGTATAACGCAATAATATATAGATTATCAAAGTTATCAACTTGAAATCTAAAATGAGGAAACAACTAAAGTGGGTTATGCCACCTAACGTCTATGTTCCAAATGAACCTATAAAATCGTTCCTAAGCTACATTTGAACATTATAGCATAAATGTACTTAACAACATCAAAATTGCAATGATTCATTAAAAATCACAATGCCTAAATGTACTTTGTTAGTCACTAATTGACTCTAGAGGGGGGGGGGGGGGGTGAATAAAGTCAAGGGCCAATTTTTGCAATTTATAAAATATTAAATCTAACAAACTGTTAAGCACAGAGAAATTGAAATATTCAAGCAGTATATGGCACAAGTATAAGAGAGATAGAGATGAGAGATTGCAAACAATGACTCGGCGATTTAGCGAGGTTCAGAAACTCTAACTCCTCGGCTCAAGGTCCCCCTTGAGACTTCCCAAATTCACTAGAGCTTCTCCTTAATGGTGGAGAGCAAACCTTCAATTGAAGCAAGACCTTGCTTCTCTTCCTTGCTAAGAGAACACCCTTCTCCTAGGCTTTCTTTTGGGTCACACCAACCCTTTTACAATAACTTGGAATAGAAATGAATTGTACAATAAATCTCTTAAAGATAGAAGTACACAGTTCTGCTCACGACTATAGTAGAGATGAATATATATATGAAGCTCAGAATTACTACAGTGGAATGAAATGTAAGAGAGGAAATGAAAGCTCAATGAATGCTTCTTTAATGCTTTTCAAGAATGGTAGAATGTTCTCTGTAATGGTGTCATTTATATTGCAGACCAATCTCTGTATTTATAGATAAACAATGGTCAATATAGTTGTTGCAGGTGGTTGGGAAACAATAAATGAAAAAGTTTCCGTTGTAGATCAAAACCCTATAAGGAGCCTGATCGATGGATCGGTTATAATTATAAATCAAACTGTTTTGCAATAGCATAAATCATTGTAAAATAGGGCTATTGGTCTGGTATGTCGAACCACTAGGACTGCGCTAATCTATGGCAACCTAAGTGTCTAAAATCATCTTTTAGAATGACAAGGGAGGTTTATAGAGGATTTGTTGGTTTGTCAGTAAAACTATGAATTGAGAAATGCATAAAATGGTAATGCTATGAAATAAATAGGCAAAGACAATTAAAAAGAACTAGGGAAGTGAATCCGCACTAAACCCTAAACACATGCTAGATCAAGACTAAATTGGGGATAGATAATGTATATATAATGGTCAAGAATTATATAGCAACACATGGTCATCCTATAATCATTAAGAAGTTCATTAAATCAAAATAAGAATGATCCATCAAAAGTTCATACATTTGAACTACCTAAACTAGGGTGTAGCATCAAACCTACTACCTTAAGCAAAAGACCATCAAGCCATTAATCAAATGATAAAGCACATGAAGTTAGGAATCAAGTATAAACCATCAAAGGGAATACCTAAGCAATGGACTATCAAGTTTCTTTATCAACATGCCATGAAAACCACTTATAATCTTATTTTCATTGTCACCATGAAAATGTAAGCATTAAGATTAATATAAGGATCATCAAAGACAAGATAATTAACTTACATCAATCATTTATGAACATTGAAATTCATTACAAAAAGTAATGTGCTCTAGATTATGAGAAGACCAAAAATTATACATATTTATCCACAAAATAGAGCCTAATCTAAAACATGATTACAAGGGAAGGCATTATCCCCTCCCTAGATGGAGGTTTAGTTACCCATTAATGCAAGGAGTGGAGAGAAGGAAGAAGAAGAATTCTCCATTATTGTACCTTGAGCTCCAAGAACACCCAAAAGCTCTCCACCTCCACTCTAGCTTTTCAAATTTTGAGATATGAGATATGTATGATCATACCCCCTTTTTATCCTTCCAAAACCTACTCCCGATACTCCAAAATCCCGAGCTCCCCCCTCTGGCTCAATCTCCACCACATAAAAGGAAGATAAGGAACAAAAATGCTGAAAAAAAGGGGCAGGTGAATTACCTGCAGAGGGCCGACGGGTGCCCGCGGAAGCTGCGGCTCGCGAGGATGGTACTGGCATGTTTGGCGGGCGCCCGCGGTGGTGCGCGGGAGCTACTGCGGGGGCTTCTGCAAGGCACCGAGAAACTAGACTAAGAGGTGAGGCATTCGGTGGGCGCCCGCGGGAGCTTGCCTTTGTAACATTATCAAGGCTTCTTGCAAGCCTTGTGACGACCCTGGTTTTTAGGCCAGCGTGTCCTGTGATGAACCGTAAGGATGATCCGATAATGGATCCGAATGCGGAAGCGAAAATAGAAAACAAGGCTCTAAGAAGTCAAAGTGACCTTCCATGAGGTCGTGGAACTCAACAAGAACTGATGCGGAAGCAAAAGATCGAAAATATGACAAATAAGCCCCCAGGGGCAAAATATTTATTTCTAAAAACTGTAGATTCGGGTGCCACCGAGCACACCGCTGGAAGGAAAATGAAAAACTAATCAAGATGGGATCAAGAATCGCATGATTCAGAGTCCGAACGAAGGAGAAACGGCATGACGAAGAAAAACGAGCACTTAAAGCAAAAAGGGTAAACTGGTAATT